CATAGTATAACTAAATAATCTTTAAAGTTTTGATTTTCATATTTCTCAATATATCATCTACATTATTGAAGCTATGAATTGTTACTTTCTTGAAAGAAACAATCTAGCCCAAAACCCTTTTCCTTCCTTCCCTCTTTTCAAACTCCTTGGACTTGACATCCCCTGCCTTCAATTAAGTTGTTGCCTTCGTTCTACCTCTAAGTGTTCCAATTGAGCTGTTAATATCACACGTACAGGGGTTCAAGTATTCCTGTAAGAATATAAAACTATCAACTTTTGTCAATTTATCGTAATCTATGATATACTGGAAAAAGTTAAATGATTCGTCAAATGATGACTTTTCTATTACACCAAACTTTATGTATTGATTTTCCACGACTAGTAGATGAGGAGAAATAAACTGAAATTGAATTATAAATTAACGTTCTTATATTTCTCGATACACATCTTGTTTGTGAAACAAAACTACGAGATTTGGATACAGTCCAATATTTTTTTTTATTATTATTGATACAGTATAACATTAAATACAATCCCGACATTAAGCATTTGGGTTCAAAAGTAGCTGAAAGGGCTAGTTTTCAAACCATTGTTTTTGTAAAAAGCGTTTTACACCAAAATGCTCTGTTTATTCTTCCATACGTCAATTTTTGACGGTAATCTTGAACTTGATTCTTCAAATATTTGTTTTGAAAGACAGAAGAAATATTCAAAATAATGTCATTGAAATCACGGTGTCCCGAAAGTAGTCCGTAATACATTTTGTTCAAATCCTTAGAAAACAATGATAATAACTGTGACTTCTTTTTTGCAATTAGCAGATAAAGAAATAACATTAATGAGAATCTGAACCTGTATTGTACCGTCAATTCATTACAAAATTTGTCATGAAATGAATAGTAACATATTGATTTAGGTCATACTATTGCAGCGAGAATAAAAAACACCTTTCCATCAAAAATATAATGATACTTTTCTTTTAGATTGTCGCGTGGGTATTTGATTGTGTCACTATGTACACAAATCATGTCAGCGATGTAAAGTAGATTTCGTCATTTGTTGTCCACTCTGGTTCATGTTGCAGAGTCTCATGCAGACACACCACCTCGCTGAGTTAAATGTAATTTGTCCATGCTTTGAATTTCTTCTGTCGATTTTCTGGAAAAGATGATTGTGTAAAAAACAAACAAAAATTATGAGTTTGATATTAGAATATGTTTAAATTTCCTACGTTTATGTTATAAATGGCTTGGAATATTCATTCTTAACATGAATCTGTATAACTATTTCGAAAATGTAACATTTACTCGATGATTATATCCTTGGACAAAGTATTTTTTGTGTGTAATACCCACAAATTTGCCTCTGTCTACCCAGTTGTGGTATTCAGCAATGTTTTGGGAAATAATATTTATCATTGCATGGCACCCAGGAAGAGCATAATTAACACTGATGTGACAACTCTGGGTAAAAAGACCTAAATATGTATATTTATTTATAATAATAACTTGTTCACCTACATTCCAAAAGTTTCACCATCTTCAAGAGTCTCTGGTAGTTTCTTGCCTCTCGTCTCTGGGAGGATAAAGCACAATCCAGCCGCCACCAGAGCAGCTATGGTCTGGAGAACAAAGGGACCAGGCGCCCATACATCATAGAGGAGCAACAGTAGAGGGGTTGCTATAGCAACGATGCGAGATGCCATGGAGCAGATTCCAACACCAGCACTCCTGTTATGGTAAGATAGCAGAGGGGATGCACATTTTGTGATATTCTCAGGGTCTTATTTTCTTAGCACAGAAAGTGAACACTATATAATGATAATAATAATGATACTCAGTTCTTATATAGCGCTTATTAAAATCACTAAGCGCTTCCAAACTTGGAGATTATTACCCCGGCTTAAGCTATGCTGCCATTACGGCGCTCTAGCATTTCAAAAATTGTATAAATATATATATATATATATATATATATATATACGTATATATATATAAATATATATATATATATATATATATATGCAGCAATGGGAATACCCACCTAAAATTGACTTGGAGTCGCCCGACCTCAAGTCGACTGACCCTGGGTCTACTTTTGAACTTTATAATTCATGCAGAATAGTTTTAATTTCAATTATTAAATATATTTGTGGCTTCCACCCAGTAAATAAGATCGATTGATCGATCTGTATCAATAAGGTCGATTGATCGACCTGTATTGAAAAACACAAGTCAGAAAAAAATCTTCAAATCCCGCTGGTTCCAAGATTTTTTCTGACTTGTGTTTTTCAATACAGGTCGATCAATCGACCTTATTGATACAGATCGATCAATCGATCTTATTTACTGGGTGGAAGCCACAAATATATGTAATAATTGAAATTTCTCCCAGGAAGCATTACATTTATAAAAGTATTAATTTTGTTTAAATGAATACTATTAGCAGGCACGTAGCCAGAGTTTGATGTTTAGGGGGGAAGGACACATACATGTAATCGATCGAGGTAAACAAAAGTGGTCTAAAAGAGTTCAACCGATTTTGGAAATTTTTTGGGGGGCAGGTGCAGAATAACAAACATGGTCTCAATATTCTACCAATCAGGGAGAATGTGTAGTTCTAAAAACCCGCGCGTGAAGCGGAGTATGTAGTAACCATATGGCTGAAATATATTCCCGGTCCGAAACCTTTAGTAAATATAAAATACTTGACGAGTTACCTGGTAGGAGTTGGTAGGATTTCGATGACATAAATTCCACAAATAGCCCACGAGGCAGCGATTCCAAACTTTCCGACCATGGCGATTGAAGTTTTGGCCGCACCAGCAGCTGTGAAAAAAGAAACACAAATGCAAAGGTATCATCAGGATCATGGTCTAGCTGATACGTCAATGCACTTTGGATCAAATAGTTCGCATTTCATGCAAAACTAAGGTCTATTGACAAAATAAGAATCTACATTTGCCACTCTCCACTCGGCTGTAGTAAACAGGTACCTGGTAGGAAATTATCCCTGGAGTGTTAGGGCAGCTTGGCTCAGGCCATGTTAATTAGAGTACTTTGTAGGAGCCTCGACTATCCCCTTTGATTGATGCGCACGAGCTACGAAACGCTATCCATTATTTTCTACCAAGCCTAACCGTTTAAACCATGTGAAAATAAACATGTGGCAAGTTCGACAACGCAACATCTTAATAAGTGACTAAAAATAAGCTTTTATGTTATTTCATCACGTACTTATATACACAAGCATCTAGCTATGCCACTGTAACGATACGACTGTACTTACGGACGAAAATGACGATAAAGCTGGCCACGCCGGCAATCACAAAGGAAGCAATAAAGCTGTATCGACGACCAAACCATTCGATCAAAGGGATACAGAGCACGACTGAAACGATCTCGACAACGCCCGAGATGACGAAACTCAGATAGATATCGACTCCGAAGCTGCCCGTGCTTAGATGGAAGCCATAGAAGATCAGGTTATTGGTCATCCTAGTAACGGCGGGTTTTAGTAAAAGAGCAGGATGGAACAATTATAGAGTATAAAGCCCGGTTAATACTTCAAGTTTCCTCTTTTCGTCGAAAGGGTAGTCAATAAGATATGAAAATCTAAACAACCACCACCCTCCTGACTTAGGTTCTAAACCATGATAAGACAACTGACAACCGGGATTTTAGTGCATTCAACTATTCTAGTCAGAATAAAAGCCGAATCGGCTCAAAATCGTAGACAATCGAATGGGTCGTCTTACGTCAGTACGATTCTGAGCCGATTTGTCTTATCCTCTTCCAAGGAAGCATGAAATCTCTTGAAATTTAAATTTCCATGATCATATGACTAATCAGATCCTAGGTAAGTAAGATTTGTTTACACATTTGATTGTTTGTATCAAACGCTATTGTAAATCTTTCCAAAATCGGACCGTAGTCAGATCGTGTGGTGTGCGCCGAGCTTGAGTGTATAACAGCAAGACAAAAATCCGAGGCATATGGTCATTTGGTGTCCCATACGTCACTTTTGTAATTTTACGTCATATTTGGGTCTCGTCGCAGCTTTTAGTAGGGCCAACATAATACTAGTATAATAATAATAATAATAATGATAATCGTAATAATCATAATAATCATAATAAAAATAATAAAAGTAATATTATTAATAATACTTCTACTTCTACTTCTACAACTATACTCCTACTAATAGCATTATTAATTATAATGATAATAATGATAACAATAATAATAATGATTACTATGATTATATTAATAATTGGGTCCGATTGACCCATGGTAGCCACATAAATATTAATACTGCTCTTCCTGCGAGTCCCGTAATTTATATTAACCCAGCAACTGCCAGGTACCCATTTACACCTGGGTTGTGAATAAATATCTTTCCAAACGATGTTAGTGCCAGATTCGAACCCTCAACCCTTAGATTGAGGGTCAAGTGAAAGAAGTATTGTACCACGACACCTACACCTCAGTAAAATCAAGTTTAGCGAAAGGAAAATGTTAACCTCAGACTAAATTAATTCTTTAAACCCCATTTGAAACACGAGCTTAATCCAATGGCCATGGAATGTTGAATTTAGATTTTAGTTCTATGCACGGGCCAATATCATGACAAAAATAAAGCCAGGGTCAATTGCTACCGGAGCACCTTCAAAGCAATAAGTCCTTAAAATAATTCGACATGATTGTTATTTGGGCCTACTCATGTGGACATGCCCTGCATTTCTAAAAAAAGTATCTCTCCAAACATGATAAAATCTCATACCGTAATAGAGAAGCTTATAACTTTAATAAATAAATACCAATTCCCATGTTAGCGATTGCAAATTTACATCTACAAAGTCCTCAAGCAAGTTCATCCAGATACCGGCATCTCCAGTTGGGCCATGATCACCATGAACAGCTTCGTCAACGACTTTATTTCATAAATTATTGGTTTTTATGTACAGATTCATTACCAAGGTTCACAAATATCACACTTACCAAATAACTATCATAACCATCATTCTCTTTCGGAGGACAGGTGTTCGAAAGAGATCGGTAAGATTCGTGTCGTGTTTCTTGTCACCTTGTCTATCCTACGGAGGTAAATTGCCGCAGCAAAACAATGTGTTAATAATTAAAAAAAATAATGGTAACTAGACATGGAATTCGCCACGGTGACGAATTAGGTGATCTGTTGCCTTAATATATCTAGACATAATAATAATAATAATAATAATTGTAAATTTATAATGCGCAGTTTCTATATGTATATACTCAACTGCGCATGACATATTGGATATTATTATTACCCCGGCTTTAGCTGTGCTGCCATTATAGCGCTCTAGCATTTCAAGGAATAAATTCCTACCGGGTACCCATTTACTTCACCTGGGTGGAGTGTGGCAAATGTAGATCAATATCTTGCCAAAGGACATTAGTGCGGCGGCGGGACTCGAACCGCGGACCTTGTGATCGACAGTCCGGCGACGTATCCACTCGACCACAACACCTCTACATAAAATATGTAGAAACTCAAAGGAAGATTTGGCCTTTCACAAAAATCCCGTCTTTCACTTATACAACACGCCTATTTACAAGCTTCTTTGGTAATCAAGGATGTAGAAACAGTAGAAATGATTGTGCTGACTGTTGTTCGGTACAACCCTGTGTATGTGTGTGTATGCCAAACGGTAAATTAAACAATGGTATCATCGATCTTGTAGAGAATTCTCAGCTACAACAAATACAATTTAAAAAAAAGAAAATCAACGATATATGAGTGAGAACTTGACAAATGAATATAAATATTAGGATGTCATTTTTCCGAAATGTTTTGTTTTAGTTCATATTATGCAAATATGATGACGGCATGACCAATTGACTCCTCAAATTTATTCATGAATTCCAATTTAGAACTAATAGGCTTTCACAAAATGAAAACCAAATAGGGGTTACTAGCCTTTCTGACGAGCGGATTCAAGTTAGGAATGTTTTTACCACTTTCGAATTATATAATAATAATAATAATAGCTAGTTCTTATATAGCGCTTTTCAGGACCGGAGGCCCTCTCAAAGCGCTTTACAGATGTATATATTATTACCCCGGTCATAGGATTCAGGCTTACCCGCACACAATGTATGCACATTCTCCACTCCCTGGGGAGCATTCCAGCCAGGCGTCTTTTTACAAGCGCACACTTGCTAATCTAACCACATTAGCTTTCGCATCCTACCGGGTACCCATTTAACACCTGGGTGGAGAGTGGCAAATGTAGATCAATGTCTTGCCAAAGGACATTAGTGCCGCCATTGGCGCGCTCATGAATTTGAATTTTCTTTCCCTTCTCCTTCTTCTTCTTCCTTCATTCTTTGATTTGATTTTGCCTCGCCTTTGCTTGTGTATACACTTTTACCAATTGTGTATTGTATTTGTTCAATGATTTTTAAAGTATTTTTTAAACTACATTTTACCCTATTTTATCCATATTGAATTGAACTTAATTGAATTTAACTGAATCTGTCATGACAATAGTTTATCACCCCTCTTCACCCATCTCTTGTCCACTTTAGGCATGGTTGTATATTTCCACTTTATTTTGTTCTTTTACTCTTTTAACTCTTTTATCTTTATCTTCTCTTTCTTCTGCTTCTTTTTCCTCTTGTTTGTTCTTCCATTTCTTCTTCTTCTTCATCATCGTCTTCTTCTTTTCCCTTCTTTTCCGTATCCTCCTATATGAATTATCCATTGTCGCTTTCTACTACCTTTTCCTAAACCCCCCCCCCCCCCCCTCAGTCTTTAATCTTTCTCTCTAAATCTCTCCCACTCGTAATTTCAATAAGTTTCAGTGTATTTGCAAACGTTACTCCTCACTTTTCGGTTTCTACTCTCGATATTTTCCACCACATATATTGCTCCGATTACCGTTTACTGCTTACTTCAGTCCTTCTTCTTTTACATGATTTCAATAGAACTATGTTACTTTATGCTATTTAATTCAGATTTCTTTCTACTTTATGTTTCCATATGTTGCAATAAGCTAAATTTCTCGCATTTATACTGATTTATTTTTCCAATTTAATATATCATGTTATGCTATGCTATATATTACATTATGTGTTATTAATTTGTTTGTAAACTTTTGTAATTTGGCTTAACGCCGCAATGAAAGTTTTATTTGAAATAAACCATTTTGAATAAACGAATTATGGAATGTCGAGAATGACTGTAAATAGTTGGAAATTGTCAAGAATAGTGTCGTCATGTCAGAAAGATAAACCATGTAAAAACGGCGTTTCTACGTTCGGTACATGCTGCGCACGCGCATAATGCGTGTACGAACGCTTACGCACGGAAATTTTGAAATGCTTGAAATGTCCTGAAACGTTCTCTTCTTTGATTCAAAAATGAATTTGAGCAGTTTATAATTCTAACGTGCGCGGATTTTGTTAACTTGTTGTGTTTACACATGACCTCAAATTTATGTATATAAAATGTCATTCAGAAATTACAATGTATGAATTAAATATGGCCAATAAAAAAAAAAAAAAATCTCTTCGTTAGGCACAATAACCATGCATATGCTACATGCCATGACAGTTTCAACGTCATTCACCTGCCATTCATGAGATATCCACAACAGAAAATTCATAAAGAAAGAAAAAGAAAGAAAAAAAATCTGACGAAATCAATAAGTGCTTTGCCATGCTTCGCGGCAGATCACCTAATAATTAAAATAATAATGATAATCATCATCATCATCTTTTTCATCGCCACCATCATAATATTAATCAAAATACTACTAATATTACTACTACTCCTACTAAAACTCTAACTAATACCACTACTACTACTAGTAGTTATGATATTGATAATAAATAATAGGATAGAAATAATGATAATAAAGGTCATAATATGAATAGCAATAATAACAATAATAACAATGATAATATGCCTTGATCACCCAAGGTAGCATTATCAGTATTAATACTGGTCTCCCTGAGAAAGTTGCATTCATACATATTATATGTTACATACCTTTGAGTTGTAGAAGTTGGTTTGCTGGAAGAAGTCATCTGTGAGTTTGACCTTATTGATCTTAGCGACCTTTCTAATACTAATTTCAGCTCGTTTATATCGACCTTTAGAGATCTGCCATCTTACAGATTCAGGGATGAAGCTAATATGAAACGGGTAAAAAAAGAAACAATAATATTGATTAGAAATTAATCAATTAATCGTATATGAATCGTATTAATAATAATGATAGCGGCGATAACAGCAACAACAACAACAATACTACTACCATCAATAATAATGATGATAATAGAAATAACTCCACAGTAGTTGCCAGATACCAATTTACACATCGGTTGAGAGTGGCCAATGCAGATTAATGCCTTGTCACAAAACAGAAAGTACTGAGCTCTGATTCGAACCCTAAAACCTTAAATTGAGAGTCAAGTAGATGGACTTCAAAATCACACATATACCTCGATTGATTTACAAAAATAAAAATTATCTTTCATACTCTATCAAAATAAAGTAGTTTATTGCACCTTCATGTTTGGTCAAGCAAAACAAGTGGAAAGCAATGTTACGTAAGGGTTTACTAGCAGCAAACAAAACGTATTGGAGTCGCATTATATTTCAATGACGATAGGGGGATATAGCAGTTTTTTTAAAGGTCGATGATATTTTTTGTCTGGAATAAATGCAATAAATTTGTGTCTAGAACTTTGGAGTTGGAAGAATAAAATGATGATAAATCCTGATAAAGTTCATTTCGATAGAAGAGGAAATCGTAAGAAACAGAACAGTGCAAATTAAGAAATCCTAGAAAGAGGTGTACTCACGGGTAAAAGAAGAAGAAGAGGGCAAAGGTCATATTCAGTGTTAGTAGAAGATAGCGCCAATTTCTGATCAGATACGCATAGAAGGTGAGTAAAAGATACCCCAAGGAAAACGACACGGAGATGAAGATGGCAACAAATGCCCGTCTCGATGGACCGACGAACTCCGTACCTATGGAAGAAATAAAATATCACAGACTCAATGGCGTAACGGTGGGTTGGGGAGGGGGGGGGGGGATTTTTACGTCATATTACTCCAGGAAGTGTCTGAAAATGCGTCTAATGTGGTTCTAAACTTGCAAATGCTTCCGACTCTGGGAGGGGTCAGAACCCCATGCCATGATTTGCCCCCCCCCCTCCGGTAAGAAATTCGTGGATCTGCCACTGAAGCCCATACCCCTTGACCCCCGCCGGGGCTCTTCCCCTAGATCCCACTTTGAAAAACGTTCACCGGGGCCTGCATGTACGAGTGCGGCCCCCCTGGCACAAAAAAAAAGAATTTGTGCTAAAGAAAGCAACAATTTTTTGTTAATGGCTCATCTGACCGTGATTAAATGCCTCGAAACCCCCGAGCTTCCGGGGGCTCTACCCCCTGGATTTCACCTAGGGCCCAAAATCAGGCACCTGGATGCTCGTCTGACAGTAATTTAATGCCTAAAACCCCTGAGCTCCTGGTGGCTCCGCCCCCTGAACCCCACACCAATTAGTAACCTACCAGTGCCACAAATAAGGTATCAAAATATGCTCATCTGACCGTAATTAAATGCCTAAAACCCCTTTCCCCCTCCCCCCCCCCCCAAGCCACTGAACAAAATATCTGACGACGTAATTTTCCAATTTCCGGGGTAAAAAAACAAAACAGAACAAAACAAAACAAATTGCTCATCTGTCCGTGGTTAAATGCCTTAAAACTCCTAAGCTTCCGGGGGCTCTACTCCCTAGACCTCCCTAGACCCCACCTAGGGCCCTCAGGCGGACGGATGGATGCTAATCTGACGGTAATTTATTGCTTAAAACTCCTAACCTTCCGGGGGCTCTACTCCCTAGACCCCACCTAGGGCCCTCAGGCGGACGGCTGGATGCTAATCTGACGTTAATTTATTGCTTAAAACCCCTGAGCTTCTGGGGTCTCGGCCCCAAAGACCTCACGCCAATTAGTGTCCTGCCAGTGTCACAAATAAGGTATCAAAATATGCTCATCTGATCGTAATTTATTGCCCAAAACCACTGAGCTTCCGGGGGCTTGGTCCCCTGGACCCCACTCCAATTCGTGACCTGCCAGTGTCACAAATATGGTATCAAAGTATGCTCAACTGACCGTAATTTATTGCCCAAAACCCCTGAGCTTCTTTTTTTGCCCCGGAAATTGGAAAATTACGTCGTCGGATATTTCGTTCAGTGGCTTGGGGGGGGGGGGAACAAGGGTTTTAGGCATTTAATTACGGTCGGATAAGCATATTCTTTTACCTTATTTGTGATACTGGCAGGTCACGAATTGGTGTGGGGTCCAGGGGCGGAGCCCCTAGGAGCTCAGGGGTTTTAGGCATTAAATTACCTTCAGATGAGCTACTTCTTTTTTTTGGGGGGGGACCCTCGGAAATTGGAAAATTACGTCGTCAGATATTTCGTTCAGTGGCTTGGGGGGGGGGGGGGAAGGAACACTTTTTTTTTTTTTTTTTTTTTAGCACACATTCTTCTTTTTTTGCAAGGGGGGGGGGGGAGCGGGCCCCCTGGATCCGCCACTACCCACAACTGTTACTGTTCGATTTACATCTTTTGAGTGTATGAGATGAACAGATCGACCTGTTCGAACTGGGATCACCCCCCCCCCCCAAAAAAAAAAAAAAAAAAATAGATAAATAAATAAATAAATAAATAAATAAATAAATAAAATAAAAATAAAAATAAAAAATAAATAATAAAAAATAAAAAAAATGCTCATCTGAGCGTGATTAAATGCCTTAAAACCCCTAAGCTTACGGGGACTCTGCCTCCTGGATTTCACGTAGGGCCCAAAGTCAGGCACATGGATGCTCATCTGACGGTAATTTAAGGCTTAAACCCCCTGACGCCAATTAGTGTCCTGCCAGTGTCACAAATAAGGTATCAAAATATGCTCATCTGATCGTAATTTATTGCCCAAAACCACTGAGCTTCCGGGGGCTTGGTCCCCTGGACCCCACTCCAATTCGTGACCTGCCAGTGTCACAAATATGGTATCAAAGTATGCTCAACTGACCGTAATTTATTGCCCAAAACCCCTGAGCTTCTTTTTTTGCCCCGGAAATTGGAAAATTACGTCGTCGGATATTTCGTTCAGTGGCTTGGGGGGGGGGGGGGGGAACAAGGGTTTTAGGCATTTAATTACGGTCGGATAAGCATATTCTTTTACCTTATTTGTGATACTGGCAGGTCACGAATTGGTGTGGGGTCCAGGGGCGGAGCCCCTAGGAGCTCAGGGGTTTTAGGCATTAAATTACCTTCAGATGAGCTACTTCTTTTTTTTGGGGGGGGGACCCTCGGAAATTGGAAAATTACGTCGTCAGATATTTCGTTCAGTGGCTTGGGGGGGGGGGGAAGGAACACTTTTTTTTTTATTTTTTTTTAGCACACATTCTTCTTTTTTTGCAAGGGGGGGGGGGAGCGGGCCCCCTGGATCCGCCACTACCCACAACTGTTACTGTTCGATTTACATCTTTTGAGTGTATGAGATGAACAGATCGACCTGTTCGAACTGGGATCACCCCCCAAAAAAAAAAAATAAAAAAAAAAAAATAGATAAATAAATAAATAAATAAATAAATAAAATAAAAATAAAAATAAAAAATAAATAATAAAAAATAAAAAAAATGCTCATCTGAGCGTGATTAAATGCCTTAAAACCCCTAAGCTTACGGGGACTCTGCCTCCTGGATTTCACGTAGGGCCCAAAGTCAGGCACATGGATGCTCATCTGACGGTAATTTAAGGCTTAAACCCCCTGACGCCAATTAGTGGCCTGCCAGTGTCACATATAAGGAATAAAAATATGTTCATCTGACGATAATTTAATGTATAAAGCCCCTGAGCTTCTGGGGCCTCCGCCCCCTGGACACCAATCTATGTCCTGCCATTGTCACAAATAAGGTATCAAAATATGCTCATCTGACAGTAATTAAATGCCTATTCCCCCTGAGCTTCTGGGGGCTCCACCCCTTGACCCCCGCCGAGAAACGTTCAGCGGGGCCTGCATGTAAGATTGGAGTGATGGGGCTTTGTTGTCCCCCCCCCCCTCCCCCTAAGAAATCCTGGATCCGCGCCTGCGTGTCGCTGTCACATGTTACTAACAATTCTAGAAGCGATTAACTTATCTAGTATCACTATACCGGTACGAAGAAAATGTGATTAGATCAACACGTAATTGTGTCCTTGGTTGAGTTGCGATCGGAAAGATCGAGTGCGGTCGAGAAGTGCACGGGGTGTGATCGAGAAGCAGTCGAGAAGTGAGCGAGTTCGGTCGAGTAACTCTTTAGGGCAGACATGTACCGATTGTGAAGCGGTTGAGTTGTTGATCGGGGTGGGTTTTTTCCGTCGATCACTACCCGATCATCTCGATTTATACACAACTTCTACACGATTGGTTCCCGATCAACCTGATCCGCCACTGCCCACAACTGTAACTGTTCGATGTACATCTCATGAGTGTCTGAGATGAACTGAACGCTGATCAAAAATTAGTACTGTTCCATCAGCTGACACTAATATTTTGTGCAACCAATCAATTCACGAGTCATCTTGGATCCCTGTTTGAACAGAGATTGTGTAGAGATCGTGTGAACGTCCAGTTGGTCTAGTAGGGATCGCGTTGGGATTGTATGTAGATCGGAATGATCGAGAAGAGATCGAAGTTGTGGTCGACCATACGTCGTGCAGGAGTCGTTAATGGTCGAATGTGGGTCGTCAATGGTCGAATAGCGGTCGGGAAGAGCTTGTGTTTAGGCATGGGGTCGGGATTGGTCGGGGAAAATGGGTGATCGGACTTGATTGGGCTTGGTCGAGTTGGTTTGATCGGCAGTGGGAGTCCACCATAAACGATACAGTAATGTGAAGCGTCATGCATTTAACATCATCGTAACAAAAAAACTGTTACGATTTTTGCGGGTCATTGGAGGTCTTTTGTCTGTTGTGTGACTAGGGTATTTAGCAACTAAGAAAGGAAAGTCTAGGCTTTGCTGAGCTCTAACTAACCTATCACCATGGAGATGAGAAGCATCCCGTAACATCCTGCAGCCTGGAAAGCCCTCAACACGACGAAAGTTATGTAGTTCGGAGAAAAAGCAGCACCGACACCGAATACAACCACGAGAACATTGGAGATGATAAGTGTTATTTTTCTTCCATATCTACAAACACAGATAAACAATACATGATTAGAATATCTCAATGAGGAAACTATGATGTACTAGCACTGAGCACCAGAGTCCCGAATAATAATACTAGTAGTAATTAGTTTAGTAATGCTATCAATAACAAGAAAATGAAGAATGACAGTAATGATATTATAGTAATAATATCAATAACAATAATAAGAAGACTGATAGTAATGATAATATAGTAATAATATCAATAACAATAATAAGAAGACTGATAGTAATGATAATATAGTAATAATATCAATAACAATAATAAGAAGACTGATAGTAATGATAATATAGTAATAATATCAATAACAATAATAAGAAGACTGATAGTAATGATAATGTAGTAATAATATCAATAACAATAATAAGAAGACTGATAGTAATGATAATATAGTAATAATATCAATAACAATAATAAGAAGACTGATAGTAATGATAATATAGTAATAATATCAATAACAATAATAAGAAGACTGATAGTAATGATAATGTAGTAATAATATCAATAACAATAATAAGAAGACTGATAGTAATGATAATGTAGTAATGCTATCAATAACAATAATAAGAAGACTGATAGTAATGATAATATAGTAATAATATCAATAACAATAATAAGAAGACTGATAGTAATGATAATGTAGTAATAATATCAATAACAATAATAAGAAGACTGATAGTAATGATAATATAGTAATAATATCAATAACAATAATAAGAAGACTGATAGTAATGATAATATAGTAATAATATCAATAACAATAATAAGAAGACTGATAGTAATGATAATGTAGTAATAATATCAATAACAATAATAAGAAGACTGATAGTAATGATAATATAGTAATAATATCAATAACAATAATAAGAAGACTGATAGTAATGATAATATAGTAATAATATCAATAACAATAATAAGAAGACTGATAGTAATGATAATGTAGTAATAATATCAATAACAATAATAAGAAGACTGATAGTAATGATAATGTAGTAATGCTATCAATAACAATAATAAGAAGACTGATAGTAATGATAATATAGTAATAATATCAATAACAATAATAAGAAGACTGATAGTAATGATAATGTAGTAATAATATCAATAACAATAATAAGAAGAATGATAGTAATGATAATATAGTAATAATATCAATAACAATGATAAGAAGAATGACAGTAATGATAATATAGTAATAATATCAATAACAATAATAAGAAGAATGATAGTAATGATAATGTAGTAATAATATCAATAACAATGATAAGAAGAATGACAGTAATGATAATATAGTAATAATATCAATAACAATGATAAGAAGAATGACAGTAATGATAATATAGTAATAATATCAATAACAATGATAAGAAGACTGATAGTAATGATAATATAGTAATAATATCAATAACAATAATAAGAAGAATGATAGTAATGATAATATAGTAATAATATCAATAACAATAATAAGAAGAATGAAAATAAAATAATTGTATCAATAATAATAATATAAAAGGAAGAATAACAGGCCTAGTAATAATAAAAATGAAATTAATGATGAAATTATAACAATGACAATTCTAATAACAATAACAATGTTAATTATAACAATAAATATATGTATAATATATGATATGTCCATTTATACATTTGATGCAACTCATTATGATGCATATTTCACGCGCAAATTTGAAGAAAGGGTACAAAAAAGTCATTTGGCGAACGGTATCTGAGTTTAAAAGAGAAAATCACATTTCTGGAAAATTCATGTTCTGCCCTTTCACATCTCTATCATTAAAACTGAGCAAGGAATAACAAAATTCTGTTTGCTCAAAGGGACTTGGTAATATTGTTAAGATGAGAGATAGTGGTGCTAAGGTGGTGACTTCAATGCTAGATGTACAATTAAAGATAATTTGAAAATTTGAGTTAAAACGGACCATTATTCATGGTACAAATAGGGAAAAACTGATCTGATCGATTCCTCAATTCTCCCAACTATATTATTACAATTTAATTACATTTTAGGGGAATGGAAATCGTCACAAAGCATTAAAATGGCTCTACATACATTCCATTCCAGGCATTTAAGTGTTGACATATTTTTTTATAGCCTGTTTTATGTCTTTTTTTCATGGAAAAACGTTTGGGAAAATTAAAAAATGGTTGGGAGAATTTACTGTTAATCACTGTTAGAGGGTGTCGTACATCGACATTTTCACAGAAAACCATAGATGTCTTCGTGGTTTGAGAAATTTTTTAGGATTTTTTGCATGTCAAAGGGGGAGTACAGTAGAAGGTTTTAGTAACATTATATACAAAAATTAAGCAATTTTTTCATCAACCTTCAACAATGTTACCAAGTCACTTTAAACTAATGCTTGCATTTCCATAATTTTAGTAAACAAATTCACTGGCTGCCTGTCGTATTAACAAACAAAGTTGACAAAAGACTTGCCTCCGTTTCGTTGACGATCAGCAAAGCATGAAGGCTTCTGTCTTCTTTATTTCGGATTTTCTCTTTCAAATTCAGATACCGTTCGTCAAATTAATTTTTGGTACCCTTTCTTCAAATTCGCACCCCCCCCCCCCCTTGAGCGCCAGGGGGGGGGGTGCAAATTTTAAAATTTTCGAGGACCAAAAAAAAAAAAAAATCCACAGTCCAGTCATATCTCTCTCTCTCTCTCTAAGTGCCATATCGATTGACTTTGGCGATTATGCTGTTCCACAACCCTGGGTTCCTAGCCTTCTGTATTAGTACCACTCCCAGTTCTTTCACTCCTCTCTCTTCCAACAATTTCTGCAGACTGTCCATCCAAAGTATCCTCCTTCTTCCCCTAGTCCTTCTTCCCACAATTGTCCCTGTCAAAGCAAGATTCTCTAGGCCTTCTTTACGTGTAATGTGACCCATGAATTTCAACTGCCTAATCAACATCTCACGTATCATTTTCCTTTGCACTCCAGCTCGTGTAAGAACTTCCTCATTACTAACTCTGTCAGTCCAGGGGATTTTCATCATTCTTCTTAAGAACCACATTTCGCAACTTTCCAAACGCTTTTTAGTATCAGAGGCTAAAGTCCACATTTCACTACCATACATAAGTACTGGGTAGATGTAACAATTCAATACTCTTATTCTGGTCCTCATACTCATTGTTCGATTTGTCAGAATTTTGCCTAGCATTGAAAATGAAGATTTAGCGAGAGCTATCCTTCTCTTGATCTCTGTCTCACATCTGGCATCCTCGGTGATCATGCTGCCGTGGTAGTTAAATGAGGAGACTTGTTTAATAATCTGTTCTTTCAGTTTCAAGTTACATTTTGGACTGCTCTTCTTAGAGACCACCAGGCACTTTGTCTTGGTATAGTTGATCTCTAGTCCCATTCTCTCACTTTCTTTTACAACTACATTCAGGAGTCTCTGGAGATCTTTTTCTGATTCAGAAAATAAAATAGTGTCATCAGCATATCTAATATTTGTGATCGAATGACCACCCACTTGTATCCCATTTTCATCTTCCAATTCTCTTAGAATGATTTCACTATACATATTGAACAGGTCCGGCGACATAACACAGCCCTGTCTGACTCCCCGTCTGATGTTAATATATTCACTACACTCTCCTTCTACCCTGATGCATGCAAACTGATTTCAATATAGACTTTGTAGCAGTCTTAGATCTTTCCTATATATATATATATCAAGCTTTTTCATCTCTTCAAAAATTTCTGAATGTTTTACTTTATCAAAAGCCTTTGAATAATCAATAAAACACATATACGCGTCCTTTTGCATTTCGACTGCTCTCTCCGTTATATTTCTAACCACAAATATTGCATTTCTTGTGCCCGCATCCTTTACAAACCAAAACGTTCCCTTCCGACCATAGGAGATATTCTACTTCTTGCTCTCAAAAGCAAAATCCTCAAAACAATCTTAGTGATATGGCAAATAAGGCTGATTGTCCTATATTGCTCACAATCCACGGCTCCCGGTTTTTTGGGGAGAGTAATGAAAATGGATCTGCCCAATTCATCAGGAAATGTTCCGTCATCATATATTTTGTTAATAATTTCTGTTAATCTATCAACACCATATTCGTCTAATGCTTCAAACATTTCAGTGACCACACCATCTGGTCCAGGTGCTTTGTTCTTCTTCATCTTTGACATTGCCCAACGGACTTCAGATTTAAGAATTTTCTCCCCTTTGACTTTATCTGCAAAACTTGGCATTGGTTCCCGACTATCTTCAAAAAGTTCGCCAATGTATTGCATCCAACTACTCATTTTGTCCTTCATTTCAAACAGGATTGACCCATCTTTTCCTTTGATACAGCCAGGGTTTGAACAACCAGGCTTTTTACCTGAAATTTCATTTATTCTTTGGTAAACATTACTATTCTTATCGAATTGATTTTCAGCCCCTGGATATGTTTTTGATTGTTTCACTGCTCTTTTAAATCTACTATTTATGGCAATATAGTCTATCTGGTTTCTGACGATGTCGCCAGGACTCTTCCAAGTGTATACTCGTCTAGGGTGCTCTTTGAACCAAGTATTAGTGATGACCATGTTCTCCCCCTCACACCACTGAACCCATCTGTCTCCTCGTTCATTTCGTTCACCAATTCCATGCGGACCTACTGCTTTGCCCTCTGTACCATGACCGACTTTAGCGTTCAGGTCTCACTGAGATTTAGCTTTATCTAATGAATCATAAAAGGTGTCAATAACTTCATCAGCACTATCTGCCGTTGGTGCATAAATCACTATGTTTGAGATGTTAAAAGGGTGTCCCTGTAATTTCACTAGGAGCACCCTATCACTTACACACCAGTGTCCCAACACACTCTTTGAGATATCTGGATCCAGCAGTAAACCCACACCTCTTTCATGCTTTTCACCTCCTGCATAAATCAATCTGTAATCATCTATCACAAACTCGCCGTTATTCAGCCATCTTGTTTCATTTAGTCCCAAAATGATGACATTTAGCCTCATCATCTCTTGTTTAACATTTTCCAGCTTGCCGCTCTGATACAGTGTTCTCACATTCCATGTTCCAACTCTGATGGGATTCCTATTGCAAATAGGAGTCAGAAGGGCTCACGTTATTTACAAAACATATTCATTGTTCATTCAGTGATATATCCACAAGATTATACGTATCTGTGATGAAATATCAGTGATAAAGCAAGGTATAGGGGCGCTTGTCACCTCACCCCTTTCCCCAAAACGAATTGAAGCAAATCTAAAAGGGGAAGATAGCACGACATCGAGGAAGGGAAACATAGCAAGGGATGTGGATAAGATAAGTCACGGACTGTAAATCACAAGGTGTCGTGCAGTTTGATTCCCTGTCATGACTGTGACGTCCTTTGGCAAACTGTTAACCAGGTGTAGTAAGTGGGTACATGGTAAGATAATTTTTTCTTGAATGCAGTGTGTGTTAATAAGGGAACTTTAAAATGGAAAAATGAATTCCAAGGTCCTTGGGAAACGCCTAGATACATAATGTATCAGGAATGCCCAATTAAAAAAAATGGATCATTTTCATTATCATAAATCATAAACCTTTTCATGGAAAACCCTGCCCTACTCCATCTCCCCCATCACAGAGCATTTCTTCCACACCAGTGCCCCCCTCACCCCGCCCCCGCCCCGCGCCTCCTCACCCGTCATTCGAGCCAGAAGGGCACACATTATTTACAAAACATATTCAGTTTAGAAATCGGACCTTTTTTAACTGATGAGAGAACATAAGTTTATTCGAGAAATGTTATCGCTTCTTTTTCGTTCTTTGTTATATAAAAAACACAACTATAAAGCCAGTGCCTTTTCGTGTAATAGTGTTGACTTTAGGCCTACCTATCTGAAATTGCACCAAAAAGGAGAGAGCCTATGAGTACGCCTATGAAGAAGATGGATTGAGACAGATTGATCAGGTATTTCCGGTCACAAACCAGGTCAAACTGCAAGGAAATCCAAAAGAAAGCAACAACTATGTCATTTCATTGCCGATGTAGATTTCTTACGCATTTCGGTTAACCTTTAGATGGACGGAAGTGGCTTGAAATGAAAAAATACAAATTTCCCGTACCCCTCTCTAGATGTAAAATAGCTCATATATTTATCTTATCATAATGGTTGCTTACTTACCATCAAATAATGATGTATTTTTCAAAATTGTTAATAACAATGGCTTGCCGGATTAGTAAATGCATATTTGAAAGGCAAGATTATTGCTTTCATCATCAAGCTATTTTTTAAAGATATTCTATTGAAAGTTTGACTTCCACTTGGTTAGAAATAATCAGTCGTCATTTCTGCATATTGAAGTGCCACCACTTTCTGGCGAATAGCTGACACTTTCCTTTCATTAACAGATCTTCAAATATGAATTTAGTCAAAACAACCGTAACCGATTTCTGTCGCAATTATTGCTATTAAACACATGCTAGATCAAATCACTCTTTGCAGCCAATCTTTCACATACCAGGGAGGGCTGATATAATCAATAAACGTTTAATGAAAAGACAACACGTATCGTGCAAGAAATGTAAACTTTAATTAATTACAAAATAAGAGTGAAGAAGAAGAAGAAGAAGAAGAAGAAGAAGAAGAAGAAGAAGAAGAAGAAGAAGAAGAAAAAGAAGAAGAAGAAGAAGAAGAAGAAGAAGAAGAAGAAGAAGAAGAAGAAGAAGAAAAGAAGAAGAAGAAGAAGAAAACGTCAACGACGACGACGAAGAAGAAGAAGACGAAGAAGAAGAAGAAGAAGAAAGAGGAGGAAAAGGAATAGGAGAAGGAGGAATAATAAGAAATAGATGTGTTAGGCCTACCGACTGGGTAAGGGTGTATGCTGATAACGCCCTGTCGTGCACCCATCCTTGATCACATGACATGAAGTCATAGCGAGATCCACTCTGATTGGTGTTTTCCAAAAAGTACGCCATCGCATCACTAAACGATACCTGGGAGACATCGTACTTGTGACATTGATCGTATACAATCGTATCGTCGTCTGCTACGGAATGTGGAATGCTGAGATATTTTTTGTAGAATGCGCAATCGCTCTCATTTAATCCTAACCCAGTGCAGTCAGCATTGTTCCATTCAGATACCTATGCAAGAAGTAAAAAATAAGTATCGACTTTAAACCGCGTCTTTTGTTACAGTTTAGTGTTTAATATTCATCAAAATACAAAATATATGCAAATTTCTATTGAAGTATACTTTGATCACGTTTCTTAACTTGCAGGACGATAAATTATTAAGCGCATAAGGGAGATGTGAATTGGTAAAGCAGTAAAGAACATTACTTTGCAGTGGCGTAGATGGCCAGATGCACGACCCCGATCCCATCGAATCCCCCCCCCCCACCCCCGAAAAAGGAGGGGAGAACAGTAAAGAAAATGTAGGGAAGAGGGAGAATGACGAACGAGGAAGATATAAAGACCTCCTTCCATTCATTCCTCTCTCCCGGTCAACAAACCGATTAATACGATGATTCCCCTCTAGCGAAGCTAACAGAAAAAACACTATAAACCCTTTAAATGGGGGAGGATCCGCAGGAGGGAGGGTTGTTTTTTTTGTTTTGTAATATTCTTTATTGTATTCACTCAATAAATAATATTAATTCATACAAATTGTAATATATAACATATTGGAACCAATTACAGAGTACAAAATACAGTAATCTCAATTATATTGAATGAATTAATATTATTATAACCCCCCCCCCTCTATATTTTGTTCTGTAGTACTAGTATCTCTATTACATATTATAATTTATAACATATTGGAACAAAGTACAGACTACAATCAACTTAGTTATATCGAATGAATAAAGTTTGTTATATCCCCTACCCCCGTAAAAAACAAAACCAACAACAACAAACACAAAACAAAAACAGAAAACAAAACAAACAACAACAACAAAAAAACAAAAAAAACGAGAAAAAAAACGAAACAAGAAGACGTGGGCAGTCTATGGCAGTCGAGACTATTCTACGTTGTTACGTGAAACCCCTGGTATCGATCACGTGCGACCATCCTCCACTGGGTATTGGTGGGATTTTTTGTTTGAAACTCTGAATAGTTTTTAAATCACCGCTTTCTATTTGTAGTTGTTTAAGTTCAAGTATTGTACCATCAGAGATCTCCACCGGTTAAAGGTTAATTTAAAACTAACATTTGATTTATTAGGACCATAGTTTAGTTTTGGCAATAACCCTGTAAAAGTGTTGAAGACAAGCAAATAGAATATCGTGTTGTGAAATATTGGTCCAATAAATGAAATGTACAGCCTGCACGCTAAATCTAGGCTCGTTTGACTAACGCCACAACAATAACTTAATATAAAACAGATTGCATGATAAATACCTCGTTACCTCGTTACAACTATATTGCCTTATTTAGCTTTAGCTCTGTTCAGCTTCACTATTTTTACAACCTCACGTTACACTAGGATGTTTACACGGTGCAAAGGAAACAGTGGCGGGCGGGGTATACTAGAAATTAGGAGACAGTGAGATGAGATAGGGTGCTCAGAGAAAATGTTTCTGAACGGTTATAAAATGCAGAAATGCAGGAATTAGACCTCCCAAAACAAACTTTTCCCGATTTAAAAAAAAAAATCATATTGTTAGGAAGATAATTTTTGGTCGGGCGCTTTTTTTTTGGCAGGAGAACCCCTGAGCCCAGAGCCTTTCGAGAGATTCAAGAGGTCTATTGGAGTTTCCGAAATTATACTAAAGGTCCTCACGAAAAAAAGTTTGACCCCCCCCCCCCTCCCCCTCCCCTACCCCCTTTTTATTATAATGTTGTTTTAATAGACGCGCGCTATACTGCATCACGGGGACTCTTAAATAATGTAGTCCTCTTTGGAAAGTTTCTGGACAGTTGTCATCCCAAACTGGGTTCAAATTTCCCTCATTACTTAACATTTAGTTACGATAGGGTTCTTCTAATGTAACCTTAGAACGATAGAGGGTGTCAATCTCTTCCTACATGTCCGACAACTGTATTTATCCAAGCTCTCTTAGACATAATAATATTGTTTTACCTTTTACCGGAAACTGTAAGACAAAGACGGAAAAGGTGAGGGTGCAGACAACAAAAGTAAGAGAGTTTCTAACATCAGAAAGATATCCTCAAATAGAAAGGAGGTTATCACAGGACAACGATAACCTTTATTCGTTCCCGACAGTACCAATCAAAGAGTTATACTGAATTTGAGTCAATGAATATGAGCCTAGTTCATATTTCAAAAGATATGCTCATTTAGCTTTTTTGTGTAAAACAAGATTTACAATCCGCATATTCTGAATATCAAAACCCCACTGTCCTACCTGTAGCTAGTTGCTCCCTCTATATAGAAAAAATGCCTAATCGGTGATCATTGGTCCCCCGTGATCCTCTTTTTTTATGTCAATTGAGAGCTGAGTTGATGAGATAGCCACCTGTCATTGACCACGCTGTGTAGTCTAATCCCTCCTGGCCAAGCTAGTACAGCCGGCCTTTAAGAGAAATGCAACTCAGTCGAAAACAATAAAATACCCGATTCGAAACCCAAGTAAACGTCCAAAAGGACTGGATGTACTGTTCATTAATTTGACGTAGTCTTAAAAGTAGTTGAACACTTGAAATGATTATCAATATCCATGAGAATAAAGAAAAACTATCATTTCGTTTTGATGAGGCAATGTTAGGGGAAATAAACGTTAATTCTCAATAGAACGGTAACCATTCTATTCGTGCTGTCGGCCTATACCGCAGGACAAATAACTCCAAAATCATTTATAATGCCATATCTACGAGGAAACAATTAACAAAACTTAGTTTCTTGATAATTTGCAATTGTTGCCAGCCAAATCATTGCTCCCGCACATTTTTAATAGATTTTTCGACGTGTCTTATAAAAGAAAAGGCACATAAGCTATCCATGTGGACAGCAATAACATACGCTTGTTAAATACAACTTCGTTGGTTGTTCTCATATTATATTCTGCATCCTCTTCTTAACCTATTTTTTCTTCAAAATAGCTCAATATATTAAATTTGCAATCATTGAAGGGAAGAACTAAATCGTCATTTAACTTGAAACACAGTGGTGGGATAAAGATAATACAACAATAAGTAGTATCCTCCTGTCTCACATGGTTATTATATAATATATATACCATATAATTATTGTTTACTCAGAATATCATAAAATATAGATCATTCAATGTACATATTTCGGTCAATTGTAGATAGACTCTCTATAAATCATGTTCAAGTGAAGTACCTGAATACCTTTTTTTGTTTTACATGTCTCCTCACGACACATAATATAAACTATACTGTTTTTCGTCCTTCTCCAACAAAAGTAAAAAACGATCGCAAAACGTTTGAATATACATAAATTTATCCTATTCAGACCTGCACATGATGGTATTACGAAAATTGCTGATCTTGGCTCAACTTACCTGGCACCAATGGTCTGACGAACCTGCCAAGAAAACCACAGCAAGAACATTAGCTGCAGCTGGAAACCAAAACATAAAAACCAATGCAAAGGTGATCTTTTGGTAGGTCCCAAACTCTCCTAGAGTTAGAAGTATATCGTCAAAAGCCATTTCATTTTTCGGAGAAGAGTCGAGTATACGATATGGTATAGCGAAAACTGTGCTTCAAAGCGTGCTCACAAACGGTATATATCAGTCTGTGTGCATGCGCAATTGATACGTTCGGTACAATAGTTGGATCTGCGTCATGAAGTGGCAATATTCATCAGATTTTCAGTCAGTCACGCGATTCGTATATGATGGGCTTATTAAAATGTAACAAATACATGGACTTATCGTTCACATGTGTCTAACGTTTGGGCGTGGCTTCTCCGCGCCACGGCTGACCAATCTTCATGTTGGTCCGCAGTGGTGCTCTATCTCAGAATTAATCGACGCATGGGTGCGATGGGTCCATTGTTTGACCAGCCTAACTTTCTTTTCAAAACCGCATTAAATGTGTAAAGCTTTTGAATCTTGAGAGAATTGTATTGTTGTCACTAATCTCAAATTGTCATGACCTTTCGGGGGTCATGCAGCTCCATTTTGTATCATGCAGGAATGTATAGCTTACCCTCCACTGGCCTAGGGGTCGTAGACAAATTTGTATTAACCTTTGATCTTGATTACTGGGATTGTCAAGAACGAATTCCTCACCCTTTATCAAAAATTATCTGTATAGCGTTCAACTGTTTTGGATCCATCTGTTTTATTGTGGTTGACTGAAATTGTTTTGATGACCGGGAATTCATGTCAAAACCCTCTTTGCCACTTAATAATTGTACTCCGAATTTTCATGCTATCAAACATTATGTCATAGTCTGCTTTAGCATGCATGAATATTTCTCATCTGCACAACGAATCTCTTTGATTTGCAAAACACCCGTGTCAGTCACGCGATTCGTATATGATGGGCTTATTAAAATGTAACAAATACATGGACTTATCGTTCACATGTGTCTAACGTTTGGGCGTGGCTTCTCCGCGCCACGGCTGACCAATCTTCATGTTGGTCCGCAGTGGTGCTCTATCTCAGAAATACTCGACGCATGGGTGCGATGGGTCCATTGTTTGACCAGCCTAACTTTCTTTTCAAAACCGCATTAAATGTGTAAAGCTTTTGAATCTTGAGAGAATTGTATTGTTGTCACTAATCTCAAATTGTCATGACCTTTCGGGGTCATGCAGCTCCATTTTGTATCATGCAGGAATGTATAGCTTACCCTCCACTGGCCTAGGGGTCGTAGACAAATTTGTATTAACCTTTGATCTTGATTAATGGGATTGTCAAGAACGAATTCCTCACCCTTTATCAATAATTATTTGTATAGCGTTCAACTGTTTTGGATCCATCTGTTTAATTGTGGTTGACTGAAATTGTTTTGATGACCGGGAATTCATGTCAAACCCTCTTTGCCACTTAATAATTGTACTCCGAATTGTCATGCTATCAAACATTATGTCAAAGTCTGCTTTAGCATGCATGAATATTTCTCATCTGCACAACGAATCTCTTTGATTTGCAAAACACCCGTGTCAGTCACGCGATTCGTATATGATGGGCTTATTAAAATGTAACAAATACATGGACTTATCGTTCACATGTGTCTAACGTTTGGGCGTGGCTTCTCCGCGCCACGGCTGACCAATCTTCATGTTGGTCCGCAGTGGTGCTCTATCTCAGAAATACTCGACGCATGGGTGCGATGGGTCCATTGTTTGACCAGCCTAACTTTCTTTTCAAAACCGCATTAAATGTGTAAAGCTTTTGAATCTTGAGAGAATTGTATTGTTGTCACTAATCTCAAATTGTCATGACCTTTCGGGGTCATGCAGCTCCATTTTGTATCATGCAGGAATGTATAGCTTACCCTCCACTGGCCTAGGGGTCGTAGACAAATTTGTATTAACCTTTGATCTTGATTAATGGGATTGTCAAGAACGAATTCCTCACCCTTTATCAATAATTATTTGTATAGCGTTCAACTGTTTTGGATCCATCTGTTTAATTGTGGTTGACTGAAATTGTTTTGATGACCGGGAATTCATGTCAAACCCTCTTTGCCACTTAATAATTGTACTCCGAATTGTCATGCTATCAAACATTATGTCAAAGTCTGCTTTAGCATGTATGAATATTTCTCATCTGCACAACGAATCTCTTTGATTTGCAAAACACCCGTGTCAGTCACGCGATTCGTATATGATGGGCTTATTAAAATGTAACAAATACATGGACTTATCGTTCACATGTGTCTAACGTTTGGGCGTGGCTTCTCCGCGCCACGGCTGACCAATCTTCATGTTGTCCGCAGTGGTGCTCTATCTCAGAATTACTCGACGCATGGGTGCGATGGGTCCATTGTTTGACCAGCCTAACTTTCTTCTCAAAACTCAATTTATTTGTTTATTTTTATTTTTTGGGTTTTTGTATGTGACAATTATCATGATGGAAAATTCGATTGTCCAAATGGGTAAAGCATTTGAATCTTGAAAGAATTGTACGGTTGTCACTAATCCTAAATTGTCATGATTGTATTCCTTCCAGGGGACATGCAGTAGAACTTTGTATCATGCAGGAATGTATTCTTTACCCTCAAATGGGCTTGACACAAGTATTCGTTATCCTTTGATCTTGACGACTGGTATTATCAAGACCGAAGTCCTCACTCTTTATCAATCATTATTATCTGTATAGCATTCAACTGTTTTGAGTCTATCTGTTATATTGTAATTGACGAAACTTTTTTCTTTTTTATGATAAGCGGAAATGTCAAAACCCTCTTTGCCATTTAATATTATTGTACTCCGAATTGTCATAACAGTTATTAAGTATGTACATACGAGCCTGTCTTAGCAAGCATGTATCTTTCTAATCACCTGTGTCAATCAAAAATACATTCGCAATTTCGTGTGCTTATAACCTTAACAAATACATGGACTTATCGCTTACGCGTGTCTGACGTATAGGAACAGGGCGTGGCTTCTCCGCGCCACGGTTAACCGATCTTCACATCGGCCCGCTGTGGCGCTCTATCACAAACATACTCGACGCATAGAGCGATGGGTCCATTGTTTGAGCAGCCTTACTTTCATTTCGAATCTGCATTTATGTTTTGGTGGGTTTTACTGTTTTGTGACCAATAATAATGGAAAAAAAACATTTGAATCTTGAAGGAATTGTACTTTTTCACTAATGCTAAATTGTCACGATTCTATACATTCGGGTGTCATACAGCTCCATTTTGTATCATGCAGGAATGTATATAGCTTACCCTCCACTGGGCTGGAAGCTGGAGACAAGTTTTTATTGACCTTTGATCTTGATTACTGGGATTATTAAGACCGAACTCCTCACTCTTTATCAATAATTATTATCTGTATAGCATTCCAAAAACTTGAGTCTATCTGTTATATTGTAATTGACTGAACTTTTTTTTTTTTTTTTGAGCGGGAATGTCAAAACCCTCTTTGCCATTTAATATTATTGTACTCCGAAATGACGTTATTGCTATTAAGCATCATCTCAGAGTCTGCTTTAACATGCATACATTTTTCTCCTCCGCACAACAAATCTCTTTGTTTTGCAAAACTCCTGTGTCAATCACAAAATCCATTGTTATAGACTGAACTAGTTTTGATGAGCGGGAATGTCAAATCCCTCTTTGCCATTTAATAATCGTACTCCGATTTGTCATTATTGTTATCAAGCATTTTGTTTCTTCCCAGCCCCTCTATTTTGCGTGTCAAAAATACACCCTTTACTCGGGCGGTCGGGCTCCGCTCTGTTGCTCCTAAGCAATTATTGTAACTGTGACCAAGATGGGTCTTATTGTATTTTTATTTGTGTTATATTTTGAAGTTACCCGCACACTTGCACTTCGTACACACACAAACGCACCAGCATCAAACATGCAGTTGTTCATCCTCCAAATTTTCGGTACTTTACATAATACGTATCGTTAAATGAATTCGCACGCGCACACTCCCGATATTCTTGTCGACGATATAAACGAGAGCAAATACTACACACCCCAAGAATTCAAAAATTCATTTTCTTACAAACCAGAAAATATTTCACTTTTACATATAAACTCCAGAAGTCTGAACAAAAATTTCGAATACGTTGAAAACCTTTTACACTCTTTAAATAATTTTGCATTTTCCGTCATTGGAATAAGTGAGACATGGTTACATCAGAATTCTCCAGATATGTTCAATTTGCCTAATTATAAGTTGATTAGGGCGGACCGCAAAGGAAGAAGAGGTGGCGGTGTTGCGTTTTATATTACACAAAACATAAACTTCAAAATCCGTTCAGATATTAAACTAACACAAGCTGAATCTTTATTTATCGAAATTAATAACTCAAATGCCAAAAATGTCATCATAGGTTTGATTTATAGACCCCCTGATTCTAATTGTGATTTATTCTGTGACGAACTGGATTTTTATCTTCATAAAATAGGGGATGAAAATAAACACAATTTTATCCTTGGTGACTTTAATATCAACTTCTCACCCTCATCTGATAACAGTAACTCAACCAATTGTATGCAGTTGATGCATTCATACGGCTTTTTTTCGATTATTAATAAACCCACCAGAATAAATCCACATTCATCAACTCAGATTGACAATATTTTTTCAAACGTACATAACAACAAAACCATCGGTGGAATATTGTGTTCTGAAGTGTCGGATCACCTACCCATATTTTTAACTTGTGAATGCAAACTATCTGGCCGTAAATCATTTGATGAGCTTATATATCGCAAAGAATCCAAACGTAATATAGAATTGCTGAAACAGGATTTATTTTTCGAGGGATGGGCTGAGGTATATAGTGTAAATGATGTCAATACTGCATATAAACATTTTAGTAACAAATTGCAATATTATTATGAAAAGAATATTCCTTTAGGCAAAATGAGTAATAAGCGAAATAAACCCAGGAATCCTTGGATAACTAAAGGTTTATTGAAATCAATACAAACACGCAATCGCCTCTACAAATTACATTTACACAATCCAACTGACACTAACCTAAACACATATAAAATTTATCGAAACAAATTAACAAAACTTATCCGTACATCCCGTAGATTGCATTTTTCTAATAAAATAAAAAAGGCCAGTTCAAACACAACTGCAACTTGGAAAATTATCAAAGAGGTAATGGGAAAAAAAAACGAATCCCCCACCCACGGATAATATCACATTAAATGGCACTAAAATACATGATCCTAGTCTTCATGCAAATTCATTTAACTCATTTTTTACGAATATCGGCCCTGAACTCGCCAGCAAAATTAATAGAACTCACGCACACTTTAAAGACTATCTTTCCAATCAAAACCAAGAGTCCCTCTTTTTAAAT